AGGGGTGGCTCCGTGCTGTTACATCATTCAACTAAAAAATATTATTAAAAAAGATATTATCTTGTAGAACTATGGCTAATAATTTCTTATATTTTTTAGATAGTTAAAGTATTGATAATATCTAAAATAAATATTAGTATCACCGTATAAAATTTTAAATATTTACTTTTGTATTATTTTTATTTTTTTTGTTATTGATGGTGCATAGTTTCAAGTATTAAAAGATAAATTATTCCAACATGATAATATTTAAAATTTTAAATATTTTAGCCATGTGCATACATTAATCTAACATGAAAATATAAATAAAAATTTATCTTTTAAAATAATAAAATCATGCACCTTTAATGACAAAAAAACATAAATAAAACTAATATAAACATAAATATTTAAAATTTTAGACAGTAATGATAACATTTTTTTATTATTAATGCCTCAACTATCTAAAAAATATAAAAAATTTATTATAAGTAGTTATACAATATAATATTTTTGTTTAATAATATTTTTTAATTGAATGACATTTTAATCCTTACAAAAAAATAACATAATTAATAATAGGAGGTTTTGAAAAACAAAATTAAACATAAAGGGGGTTAATTTTAAATTTTTAAAGGTGGGGAGGTTATATTCAATTGTTTCAAAGTTAAAAAAAATTTATACATTTTAGCCTTTAATATTTTAATGATGATTACATAAGAGATCAAATCCAAACATTCAAGTTAGGATTTAACGGTGAAAAAAAAATAGAGAGAAGGGAATAGGATAAGAATGGAAAAGCAGAGAAACAGAGAAGGGTCTACACTCAAGAGGTAATTTTAGTTAAACAATCAATCATTAATAGCACATTTTCCTACTATTTTTTTCCATAACAAAAAATTTAAATAAGTTTAATGCAGATGACTTGCTAAGGTTAGAGCATGTTTCTGAATTTAGAAAACATTTAAAGGAATATTGCCATATAACTTATTAATTAGCAAGATTTTCATACTCATACCAAGATTTAAACTTCCAGTTTTGTAAGCTATAAGTCAAATTTTTAATAATTAAATCTAAATTTTATTGACTGCTTACCCGTTGCTGCTGCTGTTGTTTTTTTCCCCCCTGGTATAATTCCTAACCGTTGTTTTAATCCATCGGCCTTTCTATTTAGAAAAAAATATTTGATGGTGTCTTGAAGAAGAAAATATTTGAGAATCTGAATCACTCAACAAGTCAGAGATTTAAAAAAATAAAAGTAAAAAAGACCCATGAGGGATAGAATTATGAGAGTAGGAGTACTTGATTATTCGACAAGAAAAAAGCAGTACTTGAGGCATTTGAAATCAGGGCCGTTGATATGGGAGGGAATGGCCAGCTCTGGAAGTCGGCTTTTGGGGGAAAAGGGACGCCCCATGGAATCCATGCCGAGCCAGTTGTAGGAGCCCTATGACCCGACGTCGTTTTCATCCTCTGACAACCTTCCATCCCTCCCAATCATCCACTCCCCTTCGTCCTTTCTTCCCAACCCCTGAAATTTTTTTAGGAAAAATTACTGTGAAGGTCCAAATCTCATGAAATATATAAATTGCTACCGAGTCTCAAATTCCAGTCCAATTGAAAAAATATCATTTCATTAGTTTTTTTTAAAAAATATATCATTAATCCACCATAGTCATTGAAGCTCCAACCAACCTCCACTGGAGACCTCCTGGCTATCATTGTCGGTCATTAAAAACACCTGTTGGTGCTCATGCTTGTTAATATAATGGTGCAATATTATATGCATATATGTATGTATGTACAATTGGTGTCTACTTGAGTAGAAGAAAATGACAACTTCGATTTAAGCACAAAACAATTCAAGTACGCTAAAATGACAATCTGGTGAAAGAAAATAATAACTTGGGTACATGAAGATATCAACTTGGCGAAAAAAAAAATGACAACTTAAGTGTTAGGAAATAACAATATGAATTTAAATAAATAATAGCTAGGAGTGCGAAATAACAACTTAGCAAATAAAAATAACAACTTAGATACACGATAAAAATAACCCAGCAAAAGAGAATGACAATTTGGGTGTCAGGAAATAATAACTCATCCAAATTGCCATTCTCTTTTGTCAAATTATTATTTTTCCTTGTCAAGTTATTATTTCATATCCTTTGTTAGCTATTTACTTAAATTCAAGTTATTATTTTCTAACACCCAAGATATCTACATCTTTGGTTGTTATTATTTACTTAAACTCAAGTTGTTATTTTCTGATATCTAATTGTCATTATCCTTTACCAATTTTTAATTGTTATATTCCCAAGTTTTTATTTTCTTTTATCAAGCTGTTATTTATTTAAACTCAAGTTATCATTTTTTGATACTTAAATTATCATTTTCCTTTACTAAGTTGTCATTTTCATATATTCAAGTTGTTATCTTCTTTTGCCAATTTGTTATTTCATAAATCTGGTTGTTGTTTACTTAAACTCAAATTGTCATTTTCTTGACACCTAAGTTGTCATTTTCTTTCACCAAGTTGTCATTTTCATATATTCAAGTTTTTATTTTTTGCTGCCAGTTTATCATTTACTTAAATTCAAATTATCATTTCTATATATCGAAGTTGTTATTTTCATTTGCTAAGTTGTTATTTTATATCCCTAGTTGTTATTTATTTAAACTTAAATTATTATTTTTGACACCAAAATTGCGATTCTCCTTTGCCTGGTTGTTATTTTGATACATTCAAGTTGTTATCTTTCTTTGTATAGTTATCATTTTCCTCTACTATCGATTTAGCTACCACTGCCATGCGCCGGAGCTCCGGCAATTAGTGATGGAATTTTTTGTTGGAAGGTAGTTTTTGGAGAATTAGAATCTAAAACCACAAGGTTCCCAAAAATTTTAGTAACCATTATACACTTATACTTGTTAATATAATAGTGCAACATCATGTATGCATGTATGTATGTATAATAATTGGTGTTAACTTGAATAGGGAAAAATGATAATTGAGTGGTTTTTGGTGAAGGCTGACTTAAGTTCTATCAATGGTAGAGGATAAATGATATATTTTTTAAAAAATAATATAATAATTTTTTTTTAGTACAAGATGAGGGTAACAATATTTTTGTAATTGAATGTGAATTGGGATTTGGTGGCAATTCATGCACTTCATGGAACTTGAAAGTAAAATATTGATTGGTTGGGACTTCACAGTAATCCTCCCATTATTTTACGCCCCTCCTAAATTCACCCCTCGTGGGACCTACGTGAACACCAAGCCATTATTTACTGTGTGACCCTACCCACTTTGAAGGGGGTCGGGCGAGAGAGATCCTTTGTAATTATTTCATTATTCAAACTAATATACACTCCTATCACTCTCTTTCTTGTTTGTTTACTCTATTATTTACTCTTTTTATTTAAAAATATAAAATATTTTTAATTAAATTTTACTTTAATAAAGTAGTTATCTATTTTCTAACTAATTTTATTTTTTTATATTTAACCTTATTAAATATCCTATAATAAATATAAAATCATTATTAATAAAAGTATTTTTTTTAAAAAAAGGCAATGATTGTATATTAAAAATATATTCAACCTCTCAAAAATGTCTTACACTCTTAAACAGAATGAGTATCTTATCTCTTCACATTTTTTCTCTCTTAATTTTTGCTTCCTCCTCGAGTTTTCTAAACACTACCTCCAATCCCTTCTTTGTTGCTTTCAAATGGCGTTGTAAATATCATGCTGTGATCCTCAAAGAAAAACTAGTTTGACATGTTTTGGTTTTCACAAGACCCTTGTAACTCGATAGGGCAGGATTTACATCAGCGACGGGCAGGATGTGACTGAATATGTTCTCTAATGGGCGTGTTATTAATTAAGGATTAAAGTCAGTGGGATACTTGCCTTGTTAAACTTGTGCTCTCATTGACTTGTTACCACAGCTTACCAAAAGTCTCGTTCTAATCCAAACACTTGTCAGAGATTACTCCGCTTCTCACACAATCTTCATCCGCTTTGGTGGACTGGACGGTATATTAAAATACAATGACCAAATCACTAACACATGTGCTTTCTTGCCTGATTCGAGCTCTTAGCTCCCACACCCAATACTCCATACCTTATCGAAGGAGTGATGGTCTGGAAGAATAACACATCATCATCAGTTTTCATGTAAAGACGGAATTCATTGGTGACCTTTTACTATTGCATATATATAATTATATTTATATACTCGTGTTGCACTATTGTCAGTGCTGGCCATGTGACTGATGATTACGTAAAATTGCAGATTAGATACTCAATTATGCTCAGATATTTGAACAAATATATAATGGAGCAGCAGTAACAGTTATTTCTGTACTTGAAAATAAATGGGCTTCTCTCAGTAATAAATCTGCGTGGAAAAATGTCGTTTGACGGGTAAATGTACAGCAAAGCATGGGGTGGACAGGAGACTGGGATGGTGATCCGTGATTGGACGGCCATGATGTCATGATTTCGAGAACTCGTCCACACGGTATCACTCCCCCTCGTAATTTAACCCTTCGCTTAACTATTTTTTTCGCTTGCTGTCTTTAATATGATCTGTCACCGGTGGTCCCCACCGTATCCCATCCTACCTCTCAGATCCAGCCGTGCACTGCAAATCATGAGATTCCCGTTCCACACCCATCTCGCTGCACAGCATAACACTTTATCGCAACCCCGTCTTCTCCCTCCGCCAAATTCCTGTCGGTCTTCTCCACGAGTCGCGATATATTCAAAATCTCGCTCATATCGTCCGTTCTGGTCCCCCCTCTTCACTCTTCAGCCATCGCTCTTTCTTCTTTACGTGCACCCGTTTTCTGCGGCTCCTCTTTCTCACCTCTCACGGATAATATCAGCTTCTCTCGCCGTCCATCCGACGGTTCTGGTCATTTCTCTACCACGTGTCGCTGCCATGATTGCTCATCACTTTTCCTTGCAAACCTCACTCTCCTATTTAACCTTAGTTAATTTCTAACCTTATTGGTCGCAACTTAAAATCCTTATCCTCTCTCTCCATCACTCTCTCACGCACACACCCTCGAACACACTTCCCCCGGCAACTGCGAACTCGTCAATGGCGCCTCAGATCTAACAGTTCCGCCCTGTTGCTTCTATCCGAGAGGCTTATTCAGCATCTTGCTTGTACTGGCGAGGTATTCATTATACTGAGCTACATCTTTGATTCGTTGGGAATTCTCGGAGCTGCTTCGGTATGCAGAAAATGGCGTACTCGTTCCCCGAGGAGGTCCTCGAGCATGTTTTCTCATTTATCCAGTCGGAAAGGGATCGTAACGTGATCTCGTTGGTGTGCAAGTCATGGTACGAGATCGAACGGTGGTGTCGGAGGAGGGTTTTCGTCGGGAACTGCTACGCTGTTAGCCCCGTGATGGTGATCAAACGGTTCCCGGATGTGAGATCCATTTCCCTCAAAGGGAAACCTCACTTTGCCGACTTCAATTTGGTTCCCGAGAATTGGGGCGGCTTTGTGTGCCCTTGGATCGTGGCTATGGCGGAGGCCTACCCGTCGCTGGAGGAGATCCGACTCAAGAGGATGGTCGTAACGGATGAGAGCTTGGAGCTGATTGCTAAATCTTTCAAGAACTTCAAAGTCCTTGTGCTGTCCTCCTGTGAGGGTTTCAGTACCGATGGACTCGCCGCAATTGCCGCCAATTGCAGGTCTTTTTTTCTCTCACTTCTCTCTCCTTTCCCATGAATTTTGTCTTGGCTTGCTTTTTGTCGGAGTGAGCGTGAGAGGGAGACAATATTAGGTTTCGAGCTTTTTCTTAGCTTCACATAAGTTCGTAAAGTTTGGATCTTTTCTATGGGTAGATGGTTAGACCTGGCTGAAGTTTCATGCTTTCGACAACATTATAGTGCTACGATCCTTTGAATATACGGCCTGTTGCTAGTTGCTACATTCTGTCGGTAGGCTTGTCGTACTTCGTTCTACGTGAACACTTGATTCTGGCTGCAGAATCTTCAATCCGTGTTATATCTTCTTATGGCCTTTGATCAGTTCTTAAAGTGGCTAACTAATGTTTTTTGTGACAGACTTGTACATTGCAGCCAGATTTTCTTTTCTAGAGTTATTATAGATTCAACTCGTCTTCTGCAAGGATTTTTAATTATAACTTTAATTATGGTTTCTATTCTGGAGCTATCTCTCCAAAAATTTCCTAACATTTGGGGTTTCTAGGCTAATGTTTACTCCGGCCAATTCTCGGGTAAAGTCAAATCCTTGTAAAAACGTATGTTTACTAGTTTTGTATTTCTAATTTTGTACTGCACTTATATTTGAGGGAGAGAGGGTATTGGAGTTGATGTTAGGAAATGCGGTTGTTTATTTTTCCTGGTCGTTGGTTTCACTTACGCGGGACTTCTCAAATTTGGGTAGTTGACGTCCGCCAGTTAATTGAAAACAAGTCGTGCATTTTTTTCCTTTCCTATTAAAACATCTTTTTTCTATCAAATCATCAAATGATGGCTTAAATATTTTTGGCATGGTGTGTTGGATTTATTTAACGCATTCCTGATTCCTACAGGTTAGTTTGTTTGTGGAAAGTGTCTCGCCATTGTCACTGATATACTCTTTCATACTGATAATACGTTGCAGGAATTTGAGAGAGTTGGACTTGCGAGAGAGTGAAGTGGTCGACCTTAATGGGCATTGGCTAAGTCATTTCCCAGATTCGTACACATCGTTAGTTTCTCTTAACATTTCTTGCCTAGGTTCTGAGGTGAGTTTGTCTGCACTTGAGCGCCTGGCTGGCAGGTGTCCTGACCTGCAGACTCTTCGTCTCAATCGAGCTGTGCCCCTTGATAGGCTAGCGAACCTTCTTACCCGGGCTCCTCAGCTAATTGAGGTAGGCACAGGAACCTACTCATCTGAAATTCGACCTGATGTCTTCTCAAACTTAGAGGGAGCATTATCTGGATGTAAGCAATTGAGGAGCTTGTCTGGCTTCTGGGATGTTCTCCCATCCTACCTTCCAGCTATCTACCCTGTCTGCTCTAGGTTAACATCGCTAAACTTGAGTTATGCAACTGTTCAAAGCCTTGATCTGATCAAGCTCGTCAGGAAATGCCATAATTTGCAGCGATTATGGGTATGTCCGATTTCAGATGATTTTACCTTTCATTATATGTTTACATCTCTGGCGCAACATCCAGAGTCCTACTGTGAATTCTGATGCTAATTAAGGTCATTGTTATAGGTACTGGATTACATAGAAGATGCTGGCCTTAATGCCCTCGCTTCATCATGCAGGGATTTAAGAGAGTTGAGAGTTTTTCCATCTGACCCATTTGGGTTAGAGCCAAATGTGGCCTTGACAGAACATGGGCTCGTTTCTGTGTCTGAAGGCTGCCCAAAGCTCCAGTCAGTTCTTTATTTCTGTCGGCAGATGTCTAATGCTGCCCTAATTACAATTGCTAGGAACAGGCCCAATTTGACTCGGTTCCGGCTGTGTATCATGGAGCCTCGAACTCCTGACTACCTTACCCTTCAACCTCTGGATGTTGGTTTTGGAGCTATTGTAGAGCATTGTAAGAATCTCCAACGTTTATCTCTTTCAGGTCTTCTTACTGATCGCGTTTTTGAGTACATTGGGACTTATGCGAAGAAGCTTGAGATGCTTTCTGTGGCCTTTGCTGGAGATAGTGATTTGGGACTCCATCATATACTCTCTGGGTGTGATAACCTTAGAAAGCTAGAGATAAGGGACTGCCCGTTTGGTGACAAGGCCCTTTTGGCCAATGCTGCAAAGCTGGAGACAATGCGATCCCTTTGGATGTCTTCATGTTTGGTGAGTTTTGGAGCTTGTAAGCTGCTGGGTCAAAAGATGCCTAGACTTAATGTTGAAGTCATCATTGATGAGAGTGGACCTCCAGATTCAAGGCCAGAGAGTTGTCCTGTTGAGAAGCTCTATGTATACAGGACGATTGCTGGGCCAAGATTGGACATGCCTCCATTTGTGTGGACAATGGGAGACGTTTCTGAATTAAGGCTTTCGTGATCAAACGAATTGTGTCTTTTGAACCTTGGAACTGACAAGCCTCGTGTTGGAGGGACAATGTCAGGTACATGTTTTAGTGTGGCAATCTCAAATGAATATTGCTATCACCTGGCTTATGTGTTGCAGCTACGGACGGTGTTTGAGCTAGCCACCGGAGGGTACACAAGCTTCAGCTCCATTGCCATTCATTTTATAGGGCTGAGCTACGGAATACCAAGTCGAGGGTACACAAGCTTCAGCTCCATTGCCATTCATTTTATAGGCTCTGAGCTACGGAATACCAAGTAGTGATTAAGGGAAACGGACAAACTTGTTATATGCATGAGATAGAGTTGTTATATTCTTCGTAGTATGATATTTTGCGGACTTATGCAAGATTATGCATGTTTTGGTTTTTGGGGCAAGGTCTGCTAGAGTCAAGTCAATGTCATTGTTGAGCTTTCATCAAATAATAAGAATTCATGATCTTAATTTCCTGTTGCGATTGACTTTGTGTAATTCTGATACGTTCGATGTCTAATATTTGCTTTGTCTTGTTCGATTCCCTGAGTAGTAGCTTCAATAACGAGAAGAATGAACCATATCACCGGTGTTAACGCCGGGAAGGTAATTGCATTAGTTCTAAAAGTTGACATAGCATTTCAGTTGGCCGAATCAGCATCTTCGGCTGCTTTTTCGTTGGAACTCATGTAGATTCTCCAAGTCCTTTTGTGCACGATGAAAATTCCCCAACGAGAAACTAAAGCGATAGACGAAGGCCCACCAAGGTGAGGGAGCTGAAGACTTAAAAGGCACGGGTCAACGAGGTGTTAGGAGAACCTTGAGGAGCAACAACGGTGTAGTTGTTTAGACTGGGGTAAGATCCGGTTAATGATTCCATGTTTAGCTTAAAATGAGGTAACTTATCGTCGGGTCATAGTGTAGGAGTAGTGTAGCTGTAGATGAGTTTACGCTTTATCTGTGCAACTCACCAAGAAATATAAAAAAGCAGAGGCATTAGCGCAGGTTAAGATTGGGGGGCGTGTTTCCTTCCCCCTGGCAGGAAGCTTCAGAGATTGCTTAGGGAGAAGAATAAAGAGGTAGCTTGCTGCAAGCGAGATTCTGGCAACGGCATTTTTTTTTATAAAAAAAGAAGTAAAAGATATGGCCTCAGCCCTCAGGTGGGGGTGACATGTGCTTGCTTTTATTCGCGCCTCGACTGGTGAGCCACGTGATAGATTCAGTGGTGTCCCAGCTTTTGGTCTTTTTCCTACAACAGACCACCCAGTCACCGACCTGATCTGATCACTCATCAAAGAATCCTCTCCCAAATCCCCTCTCTAATCATCTCCTCTCTCAATTTTACTCACTGAAACGAAACAAGTGGGCACGACAATAACATTACACTGCACCCACTGGGGCCTGGGCACCCTTTCAATAAAGAAAAAGAGGGACGTTTCATTGGTGAATGATGGCCGCACGTTTCACCATCACCATCACCATCATCATTTTTATTCTCTTATTACGATGGTCCTTTGCTTTTAATCACTAGCCCTCATTTTTCACTGTCGCACATCATTCCTCGTTTTCCTTCACTGTTGTTTCCCTCCCTCTCATCATTGTATCGCAGCGCTCCAATTGATGCCTCTGTATGTATGATTACAAAGTGAGCCCGATCAGTTTTTGCAGTGGGTGGCCACAGCCCCTTTGGATTTGGCCTCAACAACTCCTGATGTTGAAATTCCAATCATGGCACACCCCAATGATTCTCATCACGCCAGTCAAGCAAATCATCCCATACCATGAAACTTCAATTTCCACTGACTCAGCTGCTAATCTTTCATGGCTCACCTCACCGTTCCACCAGTTGTATTAGCATGTCTAGACTTATCGTGGACTCGATCAACTACTCGCAAGAGATTAGGCCCAAGCTCAGATTGGCGGGATTACTCCTCTGGTCTTTAATTACGTGGTGCATCCTATTAAGAATTTTTGAATCTTTAATACAAGACATTTGAGGTGGTATTAATTATATTTTTTTTAAATATTATTCTTACTTAAATTCATAAATTATGAGATAGGGAATGAAGTACAAATTTAAAAAGTTTTTATTTAAATAGAAGTAAAATTGAAAGTTTGTTATATTTTTGAATAAAATAACTTAAATATCTTTTCTTAATTTCAGTGAGTTAATTAGAAATATTTACAATAAGGACCGGATGGAGTATTTAAAAAGACATTTATTAATGTGAAGGGAATTTGCGACTGCTAAACGGTATCCATCACGGTATTGGCAGGTCACTCACGTTTCAAAACCAGCTATTAACTTTGCTTGAAAATTCCAGGTAGGTCAATATTTTACAGTCTACTTTATTTTTGTAAGCTTAGTTTCTCCTCTCTCTTTTTTCCTTTCTTTTCGTACCTAATGATAGGAGCGTTCGAGCGTTTATACTGCCTGAGTTTTTAACATTTAAAGTTAGCAAGTGGATCACTTTTGGTTAAACGTAGGATTAGAAATGAAATAGGGCCTCCACATTCCCTTGTTAAATAATGTAAGTAAACTTCCTAGCAAAATTAGCATATGGGAGCCATTAGTCTTGTCTGGCTCAATCGACATCGTAATAATGACAACTTTAGAAAAAGTATGCACCTTGGAAACTTCGAGACTAGTCCTGCGTGGAATTGTATACCGAAGGACTTGACTTGGATTGAAACATCGTAATAAGGACTTGACTTGGAATTGTATATCAAAGAATATTAATCCTGAATACAGAATACTTGTGCGAGTTGAGATTTCTTCCCTTTCTTTACGCACCTACAAGGCACTCAACTATGGGGAAGTTGATTTGCACAAAATTATGTGAAGGACTAACAAGTGTTGTTGAGGTTCTACTCATGGCCACGCTCATAGCACTCATTCTTCTCATCATCTGTGTCCTACCACCAAGGCGACCTCATGTGGCTCTGTTTCGCTACCCTTAACAATTCTCTTTTCAATGTGATTGTAAGAATTATTTGCTTGCTAAAGCCTCTGGTTCCCTTACCCTTGTGTACCTGATAAACTTTTTATCACATATGAGCTTGTTTTCCTTCATGCTTGGTTCCGTTTTTGTTTGGGGCAATCATGCTCTGTTCTTTTTTTAACTTTCCCTGTTGACATAGTAAAAAGGGCTTCTTCTGGACCTTGAATGAAAGCAGGTTTAAAATTTCAAAGCGATCTCGGGAAATAATTCCATTTTGCTTCTTGCTGTTTGAAGGCTGACCTAGCCTCGTAAAGCAAGAGCCTTTCACGCATTTTGGGGGCAGCTAGATTGTCAACTTTTTAGATTCCAAGGACTTGGTTTCTTTTTCTGCATCCCTCGATGATTTTGCTGATTTCATTGCTCATCAAATTGTTAACTGATTAATGAACTAAATCAATCATTATTTGAATTTCACATCATGCGTATAGACTTGTTCTGATAATCCATCCCAACAACACCAGTGTATATACTTTCTCTCGCTTGATGAATCATCGACCCACGTGAGCTTGGAGAAGTTTGTATAATCTTTAGTATATGAACCTCAATAGAAGTAAGGTGCTGTTGAACTTGATTATTTTATTGTCGAATGAAAATCGGGATGACTACAGTTTTAGTATAACACTACACCGCACAATCAATGTGCCATGATACCTGTCTTACAGTGTCAGACCAGTGATTTGCTCTCTTACTAGCTGCTCCAACATTGGATATACATATTTATTTATGATATCTGCCCAGTTTTAGCAGATCGAATGATCATGACGATGAAAAACAAGGCTAAGGACCATATGTGGAATGGACACATAGTTATTCACTTCTCTTCTGATTATGTTAAGATTTTTGGTCGTTGTGTCTCTAATAGAATCTTGACTCATCTATTTATAAATTTGCTCTATTTTGTTTTGTACTTAATTACTCTTTCGAATCTTATTTACAAATCACTTTTAGTTACTTTACATAATCAAGAAGAAACAAATAAATTATTAATGTTTGAAAATAACTAGGAGAATCACATCTAATATCCTTATAAGAAAGTTATTCACAGACAATGACTATAGAAAATTTCTTTTAAGAAAATAATTTTTTATTTTCATTTTAGTAACATTTTATTTTATATTAATCCTTAGTTATAAATAAGTTTCTTGTTAGGTTCTTGGATATGATTTTTTTAAAAAAAGTTTTAGTTTACGTTTACAATTTTACTAAATGCATTATCTTTAATAAAAAAGAAAAAAACTCTTTCCTACCCCAGCATAATGTGAATCATGATTAGTATAACATCCTAATTTAAATTTTGAAAGTTAATTAGAGTTAATCAAAATTAAAGTGAACGTTTGAGGATAATTAAAACAATTGGAAGATGATTATTGAACTTAGAAGATAAATTTGAGTTAAGATTTTTAGAAAATGGAAACATAAAAATAATAATAATAAAAACAATCATCCTTGCCATTTCTTCTTGCCGTTTCCAACCAGAACCGCGTGAGTGACGGTGGGAGAGAAAAGTAGCCTATCGGTGTGAAATTTTTGAAGATTAGGTTCAATGATATGACACTTACAATGTGATTTGAAGATTTCTGAGGTTTCAATAAGTATTCCAAATATTTTTCTGAATACCTTTTTTTATTTTATTTTTGAAGTTTTGACGGTAAAACATTAGGATTTTTATTTTTTCAAATTTGAAATAGTTTTAACTGATTAATTTGAGTTTATATTTATTAATAGAATTAGATTAAGTGTTTAATCAGTTTATATTTGTTCAAATGTTTGATTTGGAGGATTTGAAGTGTTTGTGAGTTATTTTTGAAATGTATGCTTTGTTAAGAATCATTAGATAGTTTATAGTACATTTGATGAAATTGGAACATGAGTTATATTATGAAAAATTCTACTTTGATATCTGGAATTGACCTGTGAACTTATGTTTATGTGTTGAGAAATTGCTATGGAATACTAATGCAATGATTGATTTAAAAATGAATTAGCTTTCAAATTGTATATGAGCACTATGATTTTGAAATGAATGGTACAAGGTATGAGATATTTGAGATTTGTGCACATGATTAGCATGATGAGTTGCATGACATTGAGTTGAATCCTAAGTGGTGCCAGTGGCTATTTAGAGCTGCATTAGTGAGGTATTCCTTTATCACATGGTAAGACCACTATATAGAGCTCAATGACTAGCCTACTGATGTTCCACTTGTTTAATAAGGGACACCACCCTAACTCTTGTTCATCGGTTATATGAGGAGACTCATTTAAGGCTATGATACACCACTTCTTTTATTAAAGGGGAACTCATGGTTCGATTATGTGTCTTCTGAGCTTTGACCGGCCCACACCATTAAATCTTGATTTTTTAAATAAGAAATTAGTCGTGAATGTTGGGGTTTTAAGTTGAAAAATTCAAATATGCATTAATATCATTTTGAGGATTGATTAAAGAAATAAATGTGTATTTGTAACATTCC